GGCTTAGGTTACCCGTTTCCACCACTGTACAGCAGTTCCTCCGTCTGCTGTATAATAAAAAGGTGTGTGTATGTGTGACATTTCAGTTGTTCGATACACTGTGTTATTGATTGATGATCTAACCTGGCTTTCACCTATCCGACAGAATATAACCTAAGTTAATTTGTATAAGATACTCAACAACTCTGGAAGAAGTTCAATACCTTGAGAGAATGAAATATCAGCATCCGTGGANAGGTGGCCCACGAATCACACACACACACACACACACACACACACAAACACCTTCCTGTGTGTGCCAATGGTCTCCGGGTCGATTTAGTGTTTAGATGTATTGAGCACCATGGACGTTTGACCCCGTCCAAAGGACGAATGATCCGATGAACTGGACACCGGCCCCCAATGAATTGCGGTTTACACACACCGTCATGTTGCCATGCGGACTTGGGCGAAGTGTTGCCTGTAAGGTGATACTGATAATGACGTTGTTTCAACACTGAAAACAAATAAAATATAGGTCAGAATTCGTAATAAATAATTTTCTGTTTAGCCTGCAGTTCAGCATCGTTTCCCCGGGAATTCGTAACAATACTTGACCGATATTGTCCAGCTTCACGTAACGCCAATTTACCAGTACCAATTTTTTCCGGATGCATACATACCTGGAAGAAATTCACGATCAACAGTCTCCCAGTCTTATGGTTGTTGTGAACACTTGTTTTTTTTCGCTCTACGTAAATTGATCATCAAATATGCGTAGTTTTAAGCGTGATTGCACAAGCAACTAGTCCAATCAGTAAACGAGGATCAAACCTGTTTGATTGTCCAAATCGGCGGCACATATCGAAATGAGAGTAGGAGGATGCCCGGGTTTGATAGAGTCTGTTAGCCCCATTTCATAACACGCGGATCCTCGCCCGTCCTCCCCCCTCCGCAACTTCGAAGATGGACTATTCAAACCCTTGTTAATTCCCGGATCTAGATATTGACCGAATCATGTATACAGCCATACCTCTAACTGCACATGCCCGGTGACCAAGTTGTGGCAGTAAATTACAACACGGTCTTTTGTTAGTAAGCAAAAAATGTTTCGAACTGTTGTGAGTAAAACCAATCTGTGTGTAGTGCCTGTCCGGCTTCTACTAAGATGTATTCTAGTGTGTTTATGAAGACCTCTTAGCAGGAAAGAAAACAGGATAAAGGTAGACTTTCGGTGTTTGGACACCGCCGTCTACGCAGTATTGCACGAATCTGGTGGGGTAGCCGGATGAGCAATACTGTTGACTTGAGGCATAGAGTCCTAGGTAAATGCGATCGCCCACTGGAGCAAGTGATCGATTTCGATAGATTACGTTGGTTGGGGCATGTATTAAGCATGTCACCAAATAGGTCGCCACAACGAGCGATGTTTGCCGAGGTTGTACAAACTGAAAATGTCTTTGTTTATGACCGTTTGATGAAACCTCATATGTTTTCCCCACAAAAAAAGCAAAATATCGTGCCCTGTGGAAGCTGGTCCCCGGGGATTATGGATAAGACAGGCGAAAATTCACTCACAATGTTTCCCAATCCACTGTAAAGTCAGTCAGTTTTCACAAGGCTCTTCAATTAATTGGTCAGTTGACCGCTCATGCAGGAACGACTAGACTGTTTTCTGTTGAGATTGTGAAACGTCCAGTAGTCTCAGTGGGATTTGAACCCACGCATGGATACCGCTTTGCTATCGTACAGCGCAAGCTCTACCAGCTGAGCTACGACGAGGCCAAACTTGTAGCTCACTGATCTTTTCACATTCGAATTACCTATCCATTCATCAGTTAGCATGTAAGCTGACTACCCGACAGTTTTTCCTTAGAATTCGTCGAAGTCCACCAAATGAATAGCTAAGGCAAGGTTCATTGTACAAACGATTGTTTTGGCCGATTGGAGTTTTATTTTGGGATAGTGAAAAGCGTGGGCGGCCTCCATGCGTGGGTTCAAATCCCATCGAGGCTACTAAAATTTTCACAATCTCAGCATAAAACTTCAATCCACCAAGCAACCATTTGCGTGAACTGTTTTCGATCAGTGTATAGTTAAGGAAGTGTGTGAGTGCAGGGGGAGGGGGAACGCGAGAACGGGAGGGGGCTAATGTAAACAGGTCACCTTGTTGAGGTTTGCCAAGACGAGCACCTGGCTCGGATACATCTTTACTCGACCAGTCTTGTTATGTGCACTTCCATTTGTAACATTGGTGTTTTTTCTCAGTTTATCTTACTGTTATCGTAATACACCACGCAGTTACTCACCTTTGTACAGTCTGATTCGAGTTGGGACGCTTCGTTGTATGATATCGATCTATTGGGTCTTTACGCATTCCATTTGTTTGACTGACTATATCAGTCTCCAAGCCGATTTCCTAAAAACAATTGTGTGACTATGGACAAAACGGATGGGAAGCGATTCCCAAATATGGGAGAGGTGCTGCCTGCCCTCCAAATGGAAGTGTGTCATTTTCCCCTATCTAATCAAATCACATTTTGATAACCCTTGCATTTGGCCACCTTCTGTGCACCCACCAGCCGAATCCCGGTTCAACAGTCAAAACAAATTTAGTGGCTAGGTTTGCAAGCAATGCGTCCGTAATGTGTTTATCTCTATACATGTTTACTAAATGTTGTCTTTCGTGTGTCTCCATTGTGTACCGTATTGCACATTCACTCTGAGTTGCCCTCTAGAGCTGGTCGCGTTGTTCGACCTCTGAGTGTCCCCGTCTCGTTTTCGGGTTAGAGGCCAGAAAAAGCTCAGTCTCAGGAGGTTATCTGCTTGGGTACCTCCTGGCTTCCTTCTTCTGTTCACACCTGCCCCTAAAGAGGGATCACTTCCGCAAATAAACATGGCAAGGGGCAGTTTACTGGTAAAAAAGCCCCGCTAGATGTACGTAGGAGAGAGATGCATGGGGCTTCCTCTCGACGGTGGGAGAAATTTTCGCACTTGATTGATAACTACCGCCCGCACAAGCTGGGCAGCCCCTAGTCAATAAGGTTCTGTCCCGTCCATGTTCCGCTTGTCTCATTGGGTGCATGAGGCTAAGGGCTGATCCCGAAAAGCGCACCGATAAACAACACACCAGTGAACAGCACAATTAATTGAAATTCAGAGGCCTTGCGTGACGGGTGCTTCGTTCACACTCTCGCGCTGTACTTACGCCCTAATGTCATGTGGGTCAGACTTTTGAATCAAAGGCTCCGGTTAGGGTTCCCGAAGAAAAATCTCCGTCGCCAAGTATGCCGTGCCCCTAAAATCTTCGGTACTCATTTGGAAAACCATCTTTCCCATCTGAAATCTCATTTTCGCGCTGTTCGTTTGGTAATTAAGATGTGTAAAAGTTTCTCGAACGAGGTGTGTGTGGGAGGCTAACGTGAATGAATGAGAATTGTGGTACACGAATGCGATTGACTTAAATGAAATGTTAACATCTTGCGACATTTGTCTTCTTTCTGTCTTGATGAAATAGCTAGAGTGTGTTCAACATCTGTTACTGGTTGGATCTGTGTGTGGGCGGTGAAAAAAAGAGAGTAATGAAATCACACGTGCAGATAAAAAACGATTTCTTCTTGTTTTTTTCGATATGTGGATCCTCCTCCCACCTCCGACCGATTTATTCGTCCCAGTTTCCTCTCAGTCAAGATGAATACCAAGGTTGCCGTGGAAGTGCGATCACCTATCGTGGGTATCCGTGTGCGTTGTGGACAATTTTTCATTCACTAACAGTCAGTCAGTGCGAGCGTCAAGACAAACATCCCGGTTAGTTCGTCCCTCCCCCCGTTCGTACAGCTGTTTTTGCTTGCCTACTCGATTTTGGTGCTGACTGTTTTCAACAGCTGATCGTGGGTCATGGAACTTGAAGTGATGACCGCGCGGTGGTCACCACAGCAAGTTATCACCCCGATGGGCATGAGTTCGAATCCCAAAACACCAGTACCGCCTGAATTTATGTGTGTGTGTTTTGTGACAGCCCTTTGAATGGGCCACGTTCTCCCCCTATTGAAATTTTTCTTATCGTTATATATTCACTGAAAAGGAAGTAAAGTTGACAGAATGAAGAAACAAACAAACTCTATGCTGTGCATCCAAGATTAATCTGCTTGAAATAAGTGACGATTTTTTTTATTACACAAGTTTGTGTGGTGAACAACAGACGGGGCGAATCCCGTAATCACGAAGACTTGCTGCTCCGTCATGAAAACCGGTAACGCAAGTCCCGAGACTTGGAGTGGTGAACCACACAAGGCCCCGATAGGCTAGGCGTAGTTTTGGACCGGACGGCAGCAGAGCTATCTGCCGCCAAAGAAAGAAACCCTTGTAGTGTCATGACCTTTAACTGTCCCTGTACCGGACTGTCGTCCAACGGTTGAGTAAAACAACCCGATCCTGTAGCCAGTGTTTACACTTTGAAAATGCAAAACATGCCGCACATGGCCGCACAATATCCAGAAAAGCTTGCAACTTCTCTGGATCATTACTTAGTAGCATAGTGTCGTTTGCATACTCTAGATCTATTAGATCTACTAGATCTGCTCTAGACGTGAGACAACTGTGGCACCATTGCGACATCCGGCTGTCCGTGAAGGGTCGAGTATATGCGGCAGCAGTTCGGCCAGTACTGCTTAACGGTGCAGAGACCAGAGGCCACTACGGGAACAGAATAAAAATAGACTGTCGGTGTTCGAATATCGCTGTCGACGTCGCATTGCACGCGTCTGGTGGGGAAACCGGACGAGCAATGCTGAGGTCAGGCGTAGAGTTTTAGACGGTAGCGGTCGACTACTGGAGCAATTGGTTAGCCCTCATAGATTACGTTGGTTGAGGCACGTGGTACGCATACCACCGAGCGCGATATTTGCCGAGGCAGGGAGCGATTGGAAAAGATGAAGGGAGGTCTAACGAAGACCTGACACGAGGGTATAAAATCCCTATCCAAGAGACTAGGTCACATAGGTCCCGTTAGGCTGCCTGGCTGGGGCCCCCGAGATCAGAGTCACCGATGGTTAAAGACACTCAGCGATATGGCTAGGTGTCGCAAACAGTGGCGCTCGTGCCTCTACCTAGTATTCTTATAACTTCAATCTATATAAATGCGCTATCTTTCGCCTGAATTTGCTCTCAACATTCCAATCCTCATTTTGCTGTTTTATCCAAATGGGCGACCAAAAAGACAGCAAACAGAACGGGCGCACGAACATACATGGTTAATGGTTGTGAGAACTGAACTGAGATCAGATGTCGTAATAATTTCAATAGTAAATAGTATGTTCCTCGATGTCTTTTGTATGCTGCGATCAGTTCAAAACAAAATGAAATGGAGGTAGCTCGAAAACGTGTAGCTGGAGAAATCGGAAACGTCTAGAATTCAGGCACACCGAAGATCGTCCTCAACGTAAGTGAATGGCATCTCTGAAACGATACGCGGGGTTCAAGATTATTTCACACCTAAATTTGATCCAGCCACGCAAGATGTGAGCCGTCCTTTGCAGAGATTCAGCTTCGGTTCATCTAATGTATTCTGTGGGCCAGTGAAATCGTGTTACAACGGGGCTAGAAGAATGTCTTTGCCTTTAGATCAACTGAGCATTGGTTGGTGCTACGCGAACTATGGATTTACTGATTCGTGCTAATAGTTAAACGATATATAAAGTGGCTTGTTTAAGGCACTCAGGTCTACAATTCTAACCCTACCAGCAGCACCGGTCAATCTCGAGCTTATACAGCTTTGTTGTCGTTTTGGTTTGAGAGTTTNCCCGCCACATCCGGTCTATGGTTCTTTTTTGAAGTTATCGATTGCCGTTTGTGAGAGGCCGGTATTTTATACCACCGGATCTACTCCGTATACTTATCATCAAACTATAGTTTGTGGTGTAAAGCAAATAATAAGTAATACTACGTGAAAAATAATTCACTGAAGGGTTGAGATGCAGTCTGCATCTATTCATGGCCAGCTAGAAAAAAGTCCTCGCATCTCTTGTTTTGTATATCGTGCAATATTAGAAGGGTTTATGAAATAAAAGTTTATTTAGCTCCATCATTCTATGAAAATGCTCAACCGTATTCATACGCGATAACCTTTTCATTTGTTTCAATATCAAATATTTTTTCATCAATTGTCTCATTTTATCGATCTGAGGTAGACTTTTGTTAGATGCAGTAAATTCATCAAACAGGTACAGCAAGCCTGTTTTCACTTTGTTTCTGCTATGCATATTATATCTGTATCGATCGGTCCGTTTCATTGTGAGAGGCCGGTATTTTATACCACCGGATCTACTCCGTATACTTATCATCAAACTATAGTTTGTGGTGTAAAGCAAATAATAAGTAATACTACGTGAAAAATAATTCACTGAAGGGTTGAGATGCAGTCTGCATCTATTCATGGCCAGCTAGAAAAAAGTCCTCGCATCTCTTGTTTTGTATATCGTGCAATATTAGAAGGGTTTATGAAATAAAAGTTTATTTAGCTCCATCATTCTATGAAAATGCTCAACCGTATTCATACGCGATAACCTTTTCATTTGTTTCAATATCAAATATTTTTTCATCAATTGTCTCATTTTATCGATCTGAGGTAGACTTTTGTTAGATGCAGTAAATTCATCAAACAGGTACAGCAAGCCTGTTTTCACTTTGTTTCTGCTATGCATATTATATCTGTATCGATCGGTCCGTTTCAAATGTACCTCCGAGGTACACACTCACAATTCGAGGTCGTCTGTTTTGCTCTCTCTTTCGTTCTGACGCACATTTGCACTTAAACACACACACACACATTTACACGTACAACTTGGTCTGGGTCGTCATCACTCTCACAGAATCATAAATTATTCTTTTCAAGAATTTTCTAATAATTGTCTGGTTTTTTCTTCTTTACTACCTGAGGGAACAGACAACCTTTCAGTGCTAATATCCATTCGGACAATGAATGGATCATCATTTGCTACACAAATTAGGCCAGCTTTGCACTTCTCGCCTGTTTTATGTACCTGGACACTTCTGCACAGTTTTTGCCAATCCCCGTGCTTCATATCCTTTCCCTAGTTGTCGTCTGAGATGTCTTTTATCCCTTCCTTCTCCTTCTCGGTTGTTAGGATACAGCATCTATCGAACTGAGTGAGCCTCCTGTATTGTCCAAAATACGTGCTCCCGAGGTCAGTTTCAATCGACGAGACATCCGGATACGGATGATAGATTGCTTTGATTTGGCGCACTCGTGTCTCGTCAAGTGGAGGTCTCTCTTGCTTTGTTGATGTCTGTGTTTGTGGTTGTGTGTGTGTGTGTGTGTGTGTGTGTGTGTGCGCGCGCGCGTGTTTGTCGAGATAGAAATGCCCCATAGTGAGCGGCAGATCGAGGTTATTTGCGTTTATGATATCCGTGTTATGTGACGAACGTACTCTCCAGTCCCTCGGTTGCAGTTTCTTTTGTACCGAATTGAGGTCGCTTGATTGTTCAATCCTCGTTTGTCTGTTTGGGTTCCGTTATATTCCTGATTGATGTTTGTCTGGAAAATCAAAGGCGCTATCCAGTTCGCATTGTGACACCAACACCGGCACCAAACTATCTGTTTTTGGGGATATTCACGTTCTGGGGGAAATTTGTGTTCTGGTCAGGTCAACTTTCTGATTCACAGAAGAATTCAGTGGTTAGTTTGAACAGACCAACCCGCGGTTGATGCTTCATCAATGAAATACGGCAGTACGATTGACCCCTTAGCGATCATCAAAGGGTAGACATCTTGAGCTGGTTGACCTTCTGCTGCGTCATCAATTGATGAATGACGTTCACTAGTGAGCCGAGATGAAGAACTGGAGGATGCTTTTGTCGGTCTTTCAGGTTGCCAGGTCATAGATATTGTCAGGTAGGAGAAAGTATGCTTCATGGACAAACACAATATCCAGTAATTTTAGTCTTAATTTGTATTCCTTTGTAAGCGTGCAGCCAGAAATATCGGGAAAAATGCTGATATTTCACTTATGCGGGTGCATGCGGCGACCACAGAGTTCACTATCTGAATATCTATCTATCTATCTATCTATCTATCTATCTATCTATCTATCTGTCTATCCAATTTATCATTTGTCTTCACCCTCAGATGTCTTGATAAGCCTCTTGTACC